TCAGGACATGCCAAAATCATTCGTAAACAATGAAGACCGCAGTGAAAACTCGAGAGGAAAACAGGCATACGGCGGGCAGCTGTACTTATTCGGGGCAAATAATACAGGCAAATAATGAATTGAATTTAGAGTTACGCAGTACAGAAGAGCAGGATGGGCAGTTGTCATCTAGTAGCGAAACGTCTTTCCAGCACTAACAAAGCTTCGGCTAAGAATGCGACAGGTCTTAGTTGCACTAATTTAGCAGTTCTGGAACGCGGAATTGCAAAATGGAATAAGAGGCTTGCCGAAAAAGTTGGGGGCAAGCCAGCGTGCTGTGGGCGGCGCATGCTGGATATCAGCGAGTTACAGCACATTTTCAGTGAAGTGCTGCGATATCAAATTTGTCTGGATAAGGCAGGAGGGATGTGAAAAGCCTTTAATTGTGGTGAAAAGACACAGTTGAACGGCTGTATAGAATTATGTGAAAGGTGAGAGCCCGAAATAAGAATGGAGAAGTTGCTAGCTGCATCATTGTTGGGGTGAAATGCAACGATGAAACAACAGCTGATCAGAGTAGAGAGTAATTATGTATTTGTACGGAAGTCAGCTTGTTATTGATCCTGACCTTCACTCGGTCTTTTGAAGGGACTATTAGCTCAGGAGATTTTCCGACAGATGTAATTGTTGGGGATTTCTTTGGTACATGTTGGGCATCACCACCTCGTCTCATACTCGTTTATGATGTGTAATTCGCCAATTTCGTTACATGTATTTGTTTCAAATACACTGGTTTTCGCTTACTGGTGCACACGTACTTCAGTTTGGGGTACGTTTGACGCGAACCGGATAGATTGCTGCTCTTGTGGCTTAAGTTTTTATTCAGTTTTGCCTACCGTGTGGAGAAAATACGTCCTGGGAATGAAACGACCTCTAGAGCCACTGAATGAATTTTTTTTTTAAGTATTGTCTATGGCTTCATTACATTGAAGGCTCATTTCAGCTCATCCAGTTCTTTTCATGAATTTCGACTTGGCTTCTGTTCGTTGTTTTTGCCTGCAATAGCTTCAATTTCCAATGCTTTTTCGGGACCAAAAAGTTCTTCTTGCCTGTTTTCTTCATGCGCAAACGGTGGATCTGATGTTTTACCCAGTAATTTGTAGCGTGAAGATGTGCTGTGCAGAAGTTTTGGAGAGTGGTTTTCATGAAAGAAGAGGCGAATACACTCGGAAGTAGCACGAGTGGCAGCATTTACCAACTGCAGTTATCCTGCACTGGCAGGACTATCAATGGGTTGCTTTTAAGTAGCGTGCTGGCGATCGTGACTGTATGCTTCACGTCTTTACCATTCTACGTGCGACAGAAATAAACCGGTCGTAGAAAAGCTGATTGCCCCAGTGGCCTTGTGCGGTGCTAAGGAAGCGTTGCCTTTTAATACGTAGATGTGAAAGTGGATATTGCATACTGCAACTTCTTAAATACAAAGGAGAAGCTGAGTTATGCTTAGTGCGAGCCATTCAGGGACTGTCTTAAAATTACAACTCACTAATTTTTTTTTTTCCCAGGTAAGGAGACGTTTTTGTTGTGCTGGGTCTGTTCAGGATGCACAACTGCCTTCGTGGCCTAGAGCTTCGGATCCTTGCTGTTGAAGCACTGTGGTAAAACACCAGCCCTCTCGTTACTCTCAAACACAAAGGGGATTCCACAGCGTGTTCTCTGGTAATGGCAGTATGTTAACTGTTTCGAAGAGCGCTTCACTGTGGCTCCTCTGAAGATGAAGTACTGGATTTTATTCGGATGCAGTTCTGGTCGTATGGCGGTAGCATTTGCCGTTGGTGAAAGTGTTCGGCAGCCTGAAGCCGACACATCCATAGAGACAAATGCTCTCCAGGCTGGCGGCTTGTTATTATTGACACCGCAATCGATTCGACAGGCTTCTCTCTGGCTGTGTGCGCGTGTGTGTGTGTCTGTGCAGTGTGGATCCTGATGTAATGGGAAAGCATATTAACAGCACTCATTTTTCATTAGACTTCGTTGATGCAAGAACACGCCTTATTATTATTGGCAACAACTCACTTGGCTCAGTGACCCTCTAAATTGAGTGTTTTTGAATTTATTGATCCTTAAGCCTTGCGCAGTTACGTCAGAAATGTAGTTGTTCGTCTCCAAAAGTAGCCAGTTACGTGTGGGCTTCCACACAGCCTCTGCGTTTTCAAGAATGCGGTCACGGTGGATTTCGTGCATGCCACACCGCATCATCTATGCATTATTTTCGCCCCCAGGGACAGCGTTGTTTTGCGTCGTATTCGAACTTTGGCGTTGTCGCTGCATTATTTTTACACATATGCTTGCCGTTTTCTTGTGAAGTGAAAACACAATGGTAAAAATTGTCATTTCAGTCGCATTTCCAGTTTTCGCTTGGAAGAGTGCAGTTATTGGGTGGTTGCTTCGTGGACGACGAGGAACTGAAGGTGCTGCTGTACTGAGCGGAAACTAGGCGTCGAAGCTCCCAGTGGTAGTACGTAACAACACACCTGCTGCTGCCGCTGCTGATTGATTGCGCACCCCTGCTGATCTCGTTATCATCTCTTTGTATATTCCCGATTTTTCCACTCATTTTTCGGACTGAAAATGGCTGACCAGCTTACTGAGGAGCAAATTGCAGGTTCGCTTCGTTTCTGCGTTCTTGGTGCAGCTTTTTATCGGAAATTTATATGCCTTTGGATTTATTTCTGTGTTCTTTATGCATGCGAAAGGTTAATGTTGGCCGGGCCAGCCTCATCCCGTCAGACAAGACCTGTACCGCTTCTCCGTAGTGCCCGCTGTTGTGCCCTTTTCCGGCGGCCTGCTTACTTCTGCTCTAACCGGAACTTCTGCATCATGTGCTCAGCGTGTTGCCAATATTGGCATTGGTTTATCAGAAAAAATGCAGGAATGCAAAAAATAGTCATCTTCCGTTTCTCCAAAATCTAGAAAAGTTTGTTACAAAAGACTTCTGATCAGAAGTGGCCTCAAATGAAATATGCAAAAAGACAGCGACTATTCTAAGGCTGTAATTAATTTATATGAAAAGCTATCGCAATTAGCACTGCAGAACACGGAGTTTGCCTCCCCCTACCCACGGCCCATAATTGAAGCGCTGTTCGGATCTGTGGGTAATCACTTTGGTCGTAAATCACTGACTGCGGCAGTGATGACTGACATCTGTCTTGACAGCGGCGGGTATCACTAACTGCTTGAGGTAGGTACTGAGTGATGGAGTTTCTTCCAACGCCATGGAATGGGACGATTATTTCAATGTTCTCATGTGAAAGATATGCGCCTTGGTAATTTGCTAGAGACGGAGTGATTTCCTCGTGTCCAGTATCAGTTTTGATACACTTCTGCTCCCGACCGAGTTTAAAGTTTTGCAGACACTCTTACTGCCGAATTGGCAAAGTAAACGGGATGACGCAGAAACCGCGTAATGAAGTGGATCTGAGAATTAGTTCATCGGGAACGAAGTGACACGGAGTACTGGTGCGGGTAGACGTAGAATCGGAAACGGTCTACGGTTACTTAAGTAGCCTTCGAAAGAAGTAAGCGAAGTAGAAAAACGGACACCAGGCTGATCGATAGATTGACCACCACTCTTTTGCTGATTTAGCCGCAACAACCGTAACATCGATGGAGCGGCCAAAAGTGTCGCTGTGAAGATTCGCATAAACTTGAGCAAAGTTTTAAACATAAATCAGAGTGCATTTTGTGTGTTAATTTTTCGTGCGTTCTGGAACAGCTGCTGTTTAACAAAAATCTCCAACAGCACATTGGCAAAAAGTAGTAGGGGAGGCCAAAATAGCTGCATTATTGGTCTTGGGGCTCGCCCACTTCACCGAAATCATTGTTCCGCTTTAATAAAAATTTAGAAAAAAATTGTTTTTATAGTTCTTGGGCCGACACTCCTTACTGGAGCATAAAATTATTTTTTGTCAGGTCGTAAATTATTAATAGTGTTAGGGGTATGTGAAACTTTCACGTGACAGTACATGAGACATAGGCGTAAATGAAGGCTGAATTTAAATCTGTTGAGCCGTACATGGGCAGGGATTATTCTCCTAAAATTTCAGCTACCCTCCTTGGTTCGATTTTCCGGCGCCAAACTTTCGCGTGATCGCATATATGAAGGTCGCGTTTAAATTTGTATGGGGGCCGCGTTTAAGTTTTGCGCGATCGCATCGGGGGAGAAAACATTCTCCTAAAATGTTACTTTCCAAGCTTGTGTAGCTGCTAACTTGAAAACCC